GGAACGGTCAAGGCGGTTATACCCCACGAGAGTTCCTTCTGGCGTAGGTGTCACCGATTACGTGCGATGTCCTCTCCGCCGCTCCGTCGTCGGGCCCTACGAGTTATTCAAATTTTCCCTCCCAGGATAACGTGCTTGGGAATGATGTAGGAAACACACACACATACAATAATTTGTCTTGAATTCCCTTTGAATAAATGAACTTCATTAAAGTTAGAAAAAATTAATCAGTTACAAAAAAGTACTATTTCAATGGATTTCACATGTTCTAATAGTTAATAATCAGTCTTCCACTTTCTTCATGAAAAAAACTTAAGCAGATAAGAAATTAATGAGTACTTTACATTACAACTTTGAAACCTAATTTTACGCGACCAGCTGGTGCGATTCTAATGTTTGCCTATGCCGATTTCGACGTTCCTAAATAAATGATTCAATGGCCTTTGGATTTGCATAACATGAACTCAAACACCTTTACAAAAAGTGTTTTAGATAACTTGAAATTTCAAAAGTATCGTGCAAACAATTAATTCCTTTTAATATTGTAGTTCAGCGAAACATGTTATACGCGCTTGTGAACTAATGCTCCTTTAAAGATTCCTTCTTATTTAAATTTCAGAAATGCCTATGGCATTTTTTCATTAGAGTTTCTCACTCTCTACAAGTTTCGTGATCTGTTCTTTACAACGTTTACGGGTACTCACACTTCTGCGTAGACTTTGGGGGCGAGAGACTCGTGCAATCACTGCCTTCTTCGCGCAGCGCGCTAACGGGGCCGCGAAAGAACGCCGACCCTTCGCGCGACCTCACTGCATCTCGCTGGTGGATGGCGGCAAGTTGCCTCAACTGCGTTGAACTAAGCCGTTCTGCGATAATCTCGCCGAGCGCGTACAATTCCGTCTGCTTCACCTTCGCTCATGCGGTACTCCAGTCTGCGTTCCGTACTTCTAGGATGCGAAGCGGAGACGATCCCGTTCACGTTCAGATATTCCGTGATCATTAATTACTTGCATTGCTCGCCTTTTCCGTAACTATTGGCTGCGCGCACTCCTTGAATTTCATTTACATCGGCGAGGTAATTGCTTAGAAAGGCGCAAAGCTAAAACACAGTTATTTCTGGTGATTCTTGTTTGATTTCCCAAAAAGCGCTTACTTAAACCTTACAAATGCGTTCACTCGATTCACTATTGTTCTCGAAGCACCACGTAAATAAATTACTTCGCAGACTTGGACAACCAAAAGCTAGTACCGTTCACCTCGGCAGATCTTAGGAGAGTGTGTAATCATACCTTTTTACGACAATATTAAGCACATCCCTCAGAAAATGATTTCTTACAATCATTGCATTTCTTAGGTTCACATATATTCACACTTAGACGCAATTAAAATCTACATCTACTCAAAGTTACTTTTATAAATCGGAGAACAACTCAGACTCATTACGTATTAGCCAATTGACAGTGAAAATAAATAAACAGTACTCTCCTATACACAATTATGTGAATTGATGAACTCAATCGTAGATCTCACTCGTCATCTGGTGGCGCACTGCTAAACTTATTTCACATTGATACACTCTAATCAGTGATGCAATGCTAGGCAAAAAAAGTAAATACTTTGATAATATTAAGGTTTGTGGTTGTCAATCAAAGTCTATAGTACTTCTGATCTTTAAAGGAATCTAGCAAAACAGTTGCATTGGTATTAGTCCAGTACATTCAAAGATTGAAGCGCTGTAATGCAACGTCGCAGCGTCAGGGTCTACAGTGGTCTGGGTGAATGTCTTGTGATTGTTGGTAATTATTTTCTTCGTCTCCTGCAACTCAAGCGTAAATAGGTGTTATTCAGTGCATTTAGCACTATCAACATAATTATTGAAGAATTAATGGTGCTACAACAGCACATACTTTCTATCTTTTACTGGCGATTACGTAATACTATTATTATACCGCAATTTCTGTCCATATAAACATCTCAGTCAATGAGCGCTGCCAACAATGGCCCCATAATTTCTTTTCAATTATTGCTAAAACGACATTCTTGCCATAAACGGATTTTTTTTTTTTTTTTTTAAGTTTGCACTGTTGAAGTTTTAGGAAAGTAACTTACAAGGCGTCCTTTATAGAACACCTTATTTGTTTTGAACAGAATATTTTACAGCCGCTGCGCAAAATAATTTTGTAAGTAAAGATTTAAATATTTCATTTTCTTTTAGATGAAGACTTAACATCAAACCAAATAAAATTAATCTATTCAAATAGAAATTAAACAATTGTAGATGTCTCTGAAAGTACAAAAATAATACTAATTAAAACTATTCATCTTTGTAGTCACCCCTCTTTCAAACTCTCTTCCCACTTCGTACGTTAGTTTTTGAAAAGAATTTAAATAACATGAAGTAGTAAAGGAACGTACACTAATGTTATAAACAAGTTTTATTTAATTTCCAGCACTTCATACAGACAAGCAAGGATAATTTCACAAATAAATTGAACATCCAGAACTAAATGCCATCCAATATCCCTTATGAATGAATTTGAAACTACTATAACATTACCTATCCTTATCTTATATATACAGGATGATTTAGTCATCGTTACTCATACAGCACGAAAGGTGCAAAAGGAAATAAGACTAAACCCTATTCAAAATATTGATAAGAATGTTGTCATTGGTAATTTTCTGCATGAAATGTAGCCGAAATATTTCATTAAATATTGTCCTGTTGCTATTATTGCCTACTTACCCAAAGAATGCGAAAGGAGACAACTATTATTTAAGTGTTATTTAGGATAGTTTATTATATTTGCATGTACAGTCAAAACTTTGCACATTCACCTCGTGTAACACAGGCTCTACAAGTGTTCAAAGTGGGTTCTTCCTCCGCGAACGGAAAGAAGGCATCTGCCGCACAGCCTTTGTGACGCGCACAACTTTGCCGGGTTGAACTACTTTTATTTCTGCCTCCACACTTTTAATGCGCCGAGGATTATCACGTGCCTCAACTTCAGTGGCGTAAACGCGGTCTTCCATTAACCTCCAGCTTCAAATGCGTTGAGAGCACCTGAGTTATAAAATTCAGATAATGAACGCCTCTTACATTCTCGGGAAAGATGTGAGGGCCGCGGATAAATTCATCCACGACGCCACTTTTACAGAAAATCGTGTGCTATTGTAGCACTGGATTTAAATATCCCAGACCAAGTACAGTACACCCCAAAATGAAAATATCAATTTAAAATTGAAAGGGCCATGACATGAGCCAGGTCGATCAGGGAATATCAATTTTGCAGAAAATTGGGTGAACGGTTAAGCTGCTAGCGTTGTTCATAGTTTGCCGTCAATTGATTTTTTGGTATAATGGACCCACAAAATATACCTTCTGGCTACACGACGTGTCAGAGAATTTTTTTCTGTTAGGGAGAATGTGTGCTGGAGAATTTCTTTCTCCTTACTAAGGCCCGAAAATTCGCCGTTTCCCCTGCAGCATTACATAACTTTCTCTACATTGTGTAAGCAATAGTGAGAAAGTGAAAACATCGGAACCATTTTTGATAAAATCTTACTCTACAATTGTCTATACTTCCCTGAAAATTGAGAAAACGTTTCCAAAAAATGTGCATGGCATTAATTAAAACAAAAATTGTGTTCATTTTCCTTTGAAGGAAAAAAATCTTTTTTCAATGACATAATTCATATTCTCCAATAATTGTAGGAGGATGTCCAAAAAATTTCAAGCTTTCACAATATTAAAAAAAAAATCAGAGGTAATGATGAAAGTCTGACCTATGTTTTAATTTTTTTTTTTTTTACTCTATTGTTACACGACTCTTAAAGAGAAAATGATAAGGTATTTCTGAGAAAAAAATTGGAAATGTTCCAGGGGCATCATATAAATTTCTCTACACAGCATATTTATATGAGTCCATGTATACTCTGAAGAGCCAACAAACCTGATTGTTGGCTCTTCACTACACCTCCCTAATATCGTGTAGGACTCCCGTAAGCACACAGAAGTGCCGCAACGACGAATTTGTATAGTAGTGCTGGAGGTAATTGACATCATGAATCCCGCAGGGCTGTCCATAAACTCGTAAGAGTATGATGGGTGGAGATCTTTTATTAACAGCACATTGCAAGGCATCCCAGATATGCTCAATAATGTTAAAGTCTGGGAATTTTGGTGGCCAGTGGAAGTGTTTAAATTCAGAGATTCTTGGAGCCACTCTGTAGCAATTCTGGACGCGTCGCATTATCCTGCCGAATTGCCCAAGTCCGTCGGGATGTACAATGGTCAAGAATAGGTGCATGTGATCAGACAGTATGGTTACGTACGTGTCACCTGTCAGATTCACATCTAGACATATCAAGGGTTCCAAATCACTCCAACTGCATACGCCCCTTACCATTACAGAGCCTCCACCAGCTTGAACAGTCCCGTTGACATGCAGGGTCCATGGATTCATGAGGTTGTCGCCATACTCGTATTCGTCCAACTGCATGAAACAATGTGAAACGAGGCTCGTCAGACCAGACAACGTATTTCCTGTCATCAGCAGTCCAATGTCGGCGTCGACGGGCCCAGGCGAGGCCTTAAGCTTTGTGTCGTGAAGTCATCAAGAGCACACGAGTGGAACATTCTGCTCCGAAACCCCACATTGATAATAGTCTTATATAGTTGTTGCCGACCGAAACGCTATATTCTGATTGGACCCAGATCTCATTTCAATATTCGTGGCTAACCAGTTTTTTTTTGGCTTTTCTGTGTATGAACATACATAAGTAAAATAAATTTAAAGGAGTACAAATTTTACATTCATTCCTGTAATTGAAAGTAATAGGAATAATGAAAATGATCAGTTGTCAATAAATTAATCAAATTCCCTGATAGTGTTACAGTTGTGAAAAATTCACAAATGTATCTATGTGATTTAAAATTTCTCCAAGAACAGAAAACCTAATTTTCTAGAAGTAAGCACATTCAAAATAAAAGAACCGGGTTTGCATTGGAAACTGATTCAGTTTATTGGTAGGTGTACATAATGACAAAGGAACATTTCCTAATACATCAATAATATGGAACTACTGGAATTCCACATAACATATATAATTCAATAAAAATTAAAATGATAATTATTGAAAACATGAACAAATTGATTAATACCTTCCTTTGGCTCATTCAATCAAGTAAAAGAGAAATTATTGAATGTAATATGAAGGATTGTTCAAATGTGTATAAAAATAGGTCTCTTATCAAACAATTCAAATTCATCACACTAGAAATAATCATCATAATTTCTTGGCGCTCTGGCTGCTTAGCAGCATATACTGTTGGTCATGAGGTAAACTCCCTGGATTTGCAGCTTCGATTTCCTGTTTAGCCTCTTTTTCCAACTTTAATCACAGGCAGCCTCAATCATGAGCGAGTAGTATCCAAAAACTGACCACACCTGAAAGGAAAAAAAAATAGGATCACCACCAATTTACTATACTATTATAATTACTATAAATGGGTTTTGACTGTTCAAAAACTGATAGCCGCCAGGTGGGAATCACATCCTGAATATTCTGGACATGCCCAGTTGCTCTAATCACTTGAGTAACAGACAGTCAACACTTAAAACAGACAGGAGTGAACAGTCCCCATATGTTCATTTATACTACTATACATTTTGCCATCTGTTTGCAATTTTAACAATTAACAATCATGTGGGTATGTTTCCTGTTTCACATTTGTCAACCACCATTGCATCATGACAACCACTTAGCAGGTGTTAGTGTTATTGATAGCAAGTGTTATATACTTAGGGCCTGGGTGTTTATGATCTAAAAATATCAGAAATATACAAGCATTTATGACCTTAAAAAGTGTGAAAATATCACCATAAATATGACTTAAAATTTTTTTCTTCGAAATTTCGAATATTCACAATTTACTCCTTCTCCTTTGGTGCCCAATAAAGACAATTCTACGCTAAAGTCTAAGCTAAAGTTATTTGCATCAGCAGTTGACCTTGGCACAAAACATGACAAAACTAAACTACACTATTCTTAAAAAGTCTCCAACAACTTGCACAACTATTGGAGGTTTATGTTACTACTGATTGTTGCTGTTGCTTCTCAGATGGTTAGTCAGTGCAGTGTACATTACATTATACTGCAGTATTGTGAGGCCAATTATTTGTGTAAAATGCCTTATTCAATTCAAGAGGTGATAGCTAGAGATGAGGCCTATATTTATTCTGAACCGTTTGAAGCAGCGAGTATTTGTCAAAAAATTTCTGAATGTCAATTATTGCAACTACGAGTAATATACATGATTGCCTTAGTTAAAACATGGCATACAACAGGTTTGGATTCAAATGCAAAATGAAATGTGCAACCTGTTAGGACTCTCTTACAAAAGCTCCTCGAGCGATGTGTCACACGACAAATGTTTCACTGAAATGTTTCACAATCACACAGCTTTCACAAATGAGCGAGTTGTCTGCAGCGGACTGTGGCCTCATGTCATCATAGAGCTGTCTACATGCATTTTCTGGAGCTACTTAATGGAGAGAGTTTTTGCATTTATAATTTTTCACTAGAGATGAACTGCAGGTGAACATTCATTGAGAAATCAATGCAACCGACAATGAATTTTTACATCCTATATGATTAGTCAAGCACAAAAGGCATCAATGCTCAGGATGGTCATTTTAAGCATAATCTGTAATAAAATGAATAAATGTAACATTTAAATTACATTTTATGTTGTTCTTATTTAATTAATCCGGATCATTTATAAAATTTCTTTCCAACAAACTAGCAATTCAGCGGTGGTTTCATTGTAGGTTTGGATGTATTTTGATTACCCTGTGTGAAAAGTTGTATAAACAATATTTAACTTTAATACATAAAAAATAGCAGACAGAATCCTTATGATGGAAATAACTTCCCTTATAATTTACAGCATGAGCCATCTTTACACTAGGAAGAATCTAAACAACTTCACAGTACAATCACACTTTTTAAAGGAGACAAAAATACCCATTGATAATATGACTTAACTTATTGCTCGTTAGCAATGAAAATGACTTCTTAGTATTTCATTTTAAAAATCTAACACTAGACGAGCCTGAAAAAAAGCACATCCTTACAAATATTACTTATTAGAAATTTACCTACTTTCTTTCCCAATAAAACACTTACCTTCCCCCACTGAAGTGATGATAATTTTCAACAGGTTGTCTACAGAAGTAGCACATTTTAGCACCACATTTGCACTGCATCATATTACAACCATTTTCTTTGACAAACTTTGTGCCACACTGCCAACAAGTCCTGTAAAAATGCTTTCCTTTTTAATATGCCGCAATTAACAATACACATTGATAATCTCTACTGTGACAATACCAAAGATTATTTCCATGTTTCAGAAGAAATGCACCATAGACTACATTTAATTTTGCCCTCAATATTTACAATATTGCTGTTTGCATTCAATATTTTTTTGTTGGATGGCACCTTTGGACTTGACAAAACTTCTGAAAAAGGTCAGCAATAGAGCTAGAGTTTCCCCCATGCTTCACAAGCATTGAAGCCACTGAGCTATCATATTTTGCTGGGGTACACATCCATTTAGTTTGTATATGCATATTTTGAACTTGTAAATAGCCCATGATGAAAAAAGTATGTTGAATCTGACTCAACATTGAAGCGGAAGGCAAACATTTTTAAGTGAAGCCCTACCAGACATAAGAGCACAAAAGGATTATCTACCATATTGAAAACCGGTATTCGGTCAGCATCGAATCTAAAATTAATTGTTTCTCCAACCTTTAGACATATGCCAAAAGATATTAAGCTAAAAACCAACATCCATAATTTAGTTTTGTAAAATCATGGACAACCCGCCTGTTAATTTGAAATAAATTAATTAATTTAATTTAATCAATAGTTTAGCCTTATTCCACCACAAAAAATGAACTAATAAATATACAAAATTCATTTTCAAAAAAAATATTTACCTTACAAGAGCTTCAGTCATTTTATCCTCTACATATGACTGCATTTTTTGCCTGGTCTCCTTCTGGGTAAACTCTTCGCATGAGAGTGGGAGATGATCAACCTTCTTGCACGATCTGCACCACAGAGCTAATTAATAATTCTTTCAAATTTTAACAAGCACAAAGTTTCTCACATACACCTTGCCAGGTTCACAATAGTTTACGATTTCAATTACCGTATTTACCCGAATATAAGAGGTTTTTTCTAAAATACATCTGTCGAAAAATGCAGGGTCGTATTATATTCGCAGATTAAGCCTAGTCGGTTAGGGTTTAAGTTTTTACATTGGCATTGCTTCACGAAACTATGTTGGCGTAACAATTAACTGCGAAGTCGGTAAAAATATATCTTATCTATAAGACGCTATAATATTATATAGCGATGGCATTCTGGGCATCCACCGCAAATTCGTCGGGTAATTCAGGCCGATTTTTTTTAATGGGCCGGTAAAGAGATCTGGCATTGAATCAAATGAAACGAAACGTGAAAATGAATGCCGAAATTTTGTTATGAAGCGCGTTCAAGGCCGCGCAGAATCTCGATTCGACATCCGGCGAGTGCGAATCTGTGTTTTGAACTGTTAAAGAAACAAGCCACCAACAAATATGGGGCAGATACAAAAGCTGGTAACACAGAAGAGAATGTTCTGAGGTGGAGTCGGATGAAAGACTAAGGATAACGCAAATTCAATGCACAAAACTTTCTGAGGGGCCTAAAAGTCAGCAGCAAGGAAGGAGGACCGAAAAGAAAGAAACTATGATTGACGTGAAGATGATTGAGGGTAGTGAGAAAAACCACGACGACGATTTTAAGGAACAAGAAAGTATTAGTTCAACGTCTGTGTCTGAACATTCTCATCAACAAGGCAATTTTCTAGTCAGTAAGACAATTTGGAATTTTATTTTGATTAAATAGTAAGAATTAGTTTAAATTTTTTAAAAATTCTCAGGCCTATTGAAGATTAGGGGCTTGTCTTATATTCAGGTAACTACAGTAAACCAAAATGTTTTAAGGATTTTCACTTTTATGAAGTATATTAAAAAAAGTAAAGAAAGAAAATCGAACAAACAGAAAGCCTGGTATATTAAAAGATGCGCACAAGATGACTAACTTAAACAGATATTTAGAGCTACTTCATATTTCTGGATGTTCCTAGTAACTATGAAGAATAAAGGTTTCTTTTTACAAAAATTAGAAAAAATTCATGTTACTTCTGATAATTCATTTTAACCCCTCTCACTCACTTTCCACATAGTTATAAATTGTTTTAAAATTGAACAATTTCTGCCCAAAAGAAACTTCGTAACTGAAATGCGTGAGAAGGAACAGTGTTGAGATGCAGCATGGCATAAATGGTTTCTTCCACAAAGGTACTTTATATTAGGCAGAAACACAACAGAAAGTGTTTGAGTACATAACACAAACCTGCAAGTTACTTTCATACATGTAGGATTTAAACAACGAAACAGTTTATCTTCAGCAGGTGGAATGGAACAAAATTCACAAAAACTGCACGTTTCTAGTCCAGGAATACCAGCTGCATTTACTTCTTCGTATTGTTTACGAATAAGCAAGCGAGAAAAAACCTCTGGGTTCAAAACTGTCTAAGAAAAAAAAAGGAAAAAAATAATTATTTTATTTAATGTTCATATAACAATGAAACAAAAACAAATGAAACAACTTACTTTCAAAATATCAAATGAGAATTCTTCTTTGCAGCCTTCAGAATAACATGGGAATCTAGTTCCACCATTACCAATAACTACTTCGGATCCACTGTAAAAATACACACTTCATAAGTATGCACCAAAACTTAAGTGATAGAGGGCATTTGAAAGATAAAAGGAAACATTGAAAAGAAAAGGTACATAAATTATACTGTGTATTTAAAAATTTAATATACATAATTGCCAATTATATTTATCAAAATTTGGCCTGGAAACACAAAACACTAGACACACACATTAAGTTCTAAATTAATTCGTGGAGCTAAACAGCACATACTTTCTCACATTATTCACAACTGCTGAGCAATATTATATACAATGCATGAACTTGCAAACTTGTTTCCATCCAGCACATTTTTTTTTCCACACTGACACTAGAATTCTGTTTCTCTGATAATGAATGCATTTGTGTCTAGTAGACAACACATGAAGTGACAACTTCGAACTTAAGCACTTAAACAAATAGTGTGTAATAGGGAGACCCCCTTAGTCCTATGCTGTTCAAGATTGCTGCAGCCAACATCTCAACCATCCTAAAGGAATCACAAGAAACAACATCAATCATGTACACAGACAATACGGCCCTTGGAGTAACAAACAAAGCTGACTTGCAAGCAACACTACTCAAATTAGAGAAATTGGTTGATAAAAATGCTTCATCAATCGGAGAAAGAAGTGCAGATTATCTTCAGAAAAGGTGGAAAAATATCTACAGAAGATACAATGTATCAAACGAACCAGCCACTGAAAATAGCGAATTTCAAGTACTTAGGAATGACCCTACAACTACCCTTAACCAAGCTTACCAAAAACGTTCTTCCCAATGGAGGTCATTTTACATAAAAAGGACCTTTTACATTTTTATACTCTACGATGTATAGACCATATACTCAACAATTCCAAACCATTAATAGTATTTAAAAACCATATTAGACATTGTATAATTAAAAATGAAAGCTTCCAACTGGTAATTTCACACCCGCACTCGCCTTCATTATCCATCAAACAAAGCCTGTACCTGTAATAACATTAAGCATAATAATCTATTATGCATACCAATTATTTCAAGAGAAGAAAAAAAAACGAAAGATATTCTGACATGAAGCCCTTTTAATTAATTAAATTCCTTTAAATTTATGAGAGTATGATTTACAATTCAACAGAACAAAAAAATGAAGACATCCTGTGTAAATATAAAAAAGGAGAGAGGACAAGGTCAATGTTAAAAAAGAAACAAGTCCTCCAAACGAAGGAAAGATGGCAACCCTCCATTAACATCATTCAGCCAAGACATACAGGAAACGACAGCTGCAGCCTCCAAAACGATATATGGTATCACAAACTTTTGACTATTAATAGCCACAGCCATTACACTATTCAACAGCAATTTCGCCAATAATTACATACGAAATTGATGGAATATGGAAAAATAATTACTAGACAACTCGGTAAACTAAGGACGGAGGGACGGACGTTTCGAAAAAAAAAAAACACTACTATCAGGGGTTCCCGAAACGTGCATTTCCGTTGAAATCTTGAAATAGATATTCAGAAGAAGACAAAAGAATACCAATGGAATCAGACTTCTACAACTCCGGTGTTATACGCGACCGAAACTGGGAAAAAAATAATCACGACTAAAAACATGTGACCCGAAATGCATGGATTCCATCATGATGTGTATAAAATAAAAACTAGGTGCTAAAACAGTAAGTACTTTCTCACCAGCTTTTTTTCGCACAAGTACGAGAAAAGTACTTAAATGTTCGAAAAATTGTACATTACCTTATTTCATAATTAACTTTAAGGAATATATTTTATTAAGGGGAAAATATCTTTAATATTTTAGTTGTACGAAAAGTCCTAATGTTTTTTGAAACTTGGCAATTTTCGAAAAATTGAGAGTTTTTAACGAATATGAGACCTGGACTTAGGATGTCCCAGGGGCTTCATTTAAAATATTAAAACATTGTTTCGAATTCAAGGGGCCGCGACATCATCCAGATCAATTGGGGAATATAATTTTTAGAAAAATTGGGCTGAACGGTTTAGCCGCTAGTGTTGTTCACGGACGGACAGACTTAAGTTTTCCCGACATTCGATATTTCAAGGACCCATAAAACATTGATTCTGGCTACAACATGTGTTAGAGGATTTTCCTTGTTTTTAAATTTCGCAAGTGGATTTATACATTTCTTCTTTACCAAAACACTGTAATAAAAGTTTCTCCCGAAAATTCGCGGTATTTTTCGCGCAGCATTACGTAATTGTTTCTCTACTCTGTAGCACGAAAGTAAAACTATTCATGAATCTAGTGAAAAATGCATTTGTGATCTTTGTAATCAAAAGTGCGATCTACGTGTACAAAACTTGTACGTGCGAAACGTGTACAAAAAATAAACAATCGATTAGGGAATTCAGTAGAGTATAAACAACAATAAATGACCGACAATGGTGAATCTTCCTTCTTCAATTGTAAATGTAATAGCCTATCTCCTCTCGGTATGCTTACATTTTTTACAATAGTTACAGTTTTGAAATACTAGGATATTATGTGCAATACTTCTATTTTTGGCAACTTCCACTTTTAGTAACTTCAAAACAATTAAAAACAAAATGTGTAAGATGTACACACATCTTTAGCTGTTTTATAAAATGTTTTTGGAAAAGAGTACCAAAATTGGCGTTTTTGGACGTAGCGCTTCAACAGGATAGTAGCTAGAATGGCTACTCTTCGAAAATTGGGAAAGAGCTAATGGAGAGAGAGCAGAGGTTTGGCAGCAGCGCGACAGACGATACGGAACGCTCTTGTATTATCAACAGCAGAAGTAGGAGTGGGCGTGAGAACGTTCTGATCTTTGTTCAGCATACGCAGTGTGTAAGGCCTTCTAGACTTCCTGGATTAGCCTTGGAATAATCCTGATGTATACAAAGGAGCACACGTCGAATACCTTGTTTTGTATATATTTCGAAGCAATTTTTCAGTCCTTGCAGCAGTATTTAAATGTTTGGGATAACTCAACATTTTTTATTAATTGAAAAACAATTATTTTTGGAAGCAGCTATTGATTAATGTATTATGGAGATCGCTTCGCCAACGTTATGATATTGTCACATGCATCACCATCTGTATAAGGAATCCGGAAGGTGGTAGTGCGCGCTGTTTAGAAGCCTGCGTTTGCGCAGAGACAAAATGACAAATCATCAAAATGTGCTATTCTAGATGGAACATATTCACTGTTATTGAGGAGTTAGGTGCAAAAGTGAAAGCGTCATGTGAAACTTGTAAGCTTGCCACACAGACAATAGTAAGTGGTTCCTATAATGAGACCACAAGTTGTAAGACACTCTTACCGCTATAAATCATAAGCAGTTATTATTATAAATTTTAAAATGTCCAACTGTATACAATAATTGTAATCCACAACCACGTTTTGAGAAAAATTGTGAAAGTGGATCACTACTGGTTGTATTTTCAAAAGTATTTTAAGGTTCTATATTGTACCTGAAATGGTTTTATTGAAGTATTTTGTATTTAAATTCTTTCCACGAAATATTTTGTATCTGAAATTATTTTACCAAGTATTTTGCCCAACTCTGCTAGTGCTCAATAAATTCGGCCTCATTTAATGAATGTGTCGCGAAACGTTGGGTCTTTTAGTAAATTGATGCAATATAATAATTGTTTTAAAATATAATTTGGTTTGTCTTTAATACAGTAAAACCTGTCTAAGCCGAAAAGGTTTGGTTCCAACATTTTCTTACATCTTATGCATGTTTCCGGTTTATTCAGAAATAAAAAACACAAAAAAAACTGCCAATTTAGAAAACACAATCGTTCAAAGATGGAATAGGCTTTATGAGTAATTTATTTCCCCTAAAAACATTTCAAAGAAACTAAGACGTTAGGACAACAATGACAAGAAGTCTAATAAAACAACACGCTCCATAAAAAGTAAAATAAATTTAATTTTCTTCAATATTTGTAGGAGCATATTTTTATGGGCGAATATTGTGGTAACCACTTAAAAACAATTATTTTAACCGCTTATATTTGATTTTGTCTCTGGTTTTTAAGGCATACACTTTACATTTCTTTATCCAACCCTTCACGGAAGTATTGCTGTATTACTGCTTATTTAGTCTTAATTTTCCCACCAAGAGTTAACGTTTTCAATTTGCCACCTGACAAACATGATTAACACAATACCTGCAACACAAACTAAACAACAGTAATCATTTAGAACCACTGAACTCAAAGCAATCATTAAAAGAACTGTGAAAGATCGCTATTCTCATCCCTACTTCCTTCATACGGGCTTGTGAAGGTCAGTGTTATTTCAATTTAAACTATTGATGGTAAACAATGGCACAGACTTTCCGTATTAGTGTTCTATTTCCTCTGGTCTCGGCTAGCTAGTCGGACTCTGGTCAGTTGCCATCTATCGCCGCTCAAAGTACATATCGATTTTTTTTTTTTTTTTGTTTTATTATAGTAGACTGGAAAAAATATTTTAGTATTATACAAGAACAGTAAAAACCTTGTCCTAAATGGAAATTTCTTTAGAAAATTTCGTGCCGTTTTTACGAAAGTTGCGTTTAAGGGCTACTGTAAATTCGAAATTTGAATCTTGCTCCCAGAAAATCCGAGTTTTCGAAAAACTTTTATTGGACGCCATTTGAAGCACTTTTAACTCACAAATACAACTGTTTAAAAATCGCCCGATATGTGCATATTAACGGCGTGAGAAATCTATACTTTACTCTAGAAATTCATACTTTGCTTCTAGACATCGATTATATTTTAAATTGTTCAATTGAGAGGAAGAGCGAGACTGGGAGAGGAAGTGAGACTACTCCCAGACCACCGTCGTTCTAAAAGATTTTGTTCCTTTCCGCATTAGGAAGCTTTCCGAATTATCCAGTTTAATTAGCATTGAATAATATTTCGTACAGAGATTTTTTGGCGAAGGCACGTTGCCGCCTGTTTTTACTGTATTTGAGAATCACAGTTAAAAAACAGTATTTATCAAACATTATTTATCAAAA